ATTAAATTTTATTTATAAGAATAATTTATTATAAATTTTTTTAGTTTGAAAAAAATATTTGTTTAGACAATTAATGGAGAAAATAAATTGTCAGCCACATAAATCTTATTGGTGTGATATTTTTTATATTTGTAGAGCAAAAAATAAAAAATAAAATAGAAAACAATGAACACAATATATGAAATAATTACATGTATGGGTGTATAAAATTTAAAGGAATATTTACATAAGACACCATTAGTATTATTTTAAAAAATTTATGATTACAATAACTAACACTACAATTCACAATTCTTTTTATCTTATCCATCCATTCTTGTAAGTTATAGTCCTACTAATTTAGGTGAATAACTAATTAATAGCATGTTAAATTAGAAGAAGTTAAAAGGGAATAAAAATGACAATTGATATAAGATAAAAATTAAAAAAAAAATGACTTATAATTGGTATGAAGAGAAATGTGAGGCAACAATTGATGAAGAGCAACATATATATAATAAATTAATAACCCTGATCACTAAGTTTTTGTCACTAATTTTTTTATTACTCAATAATCCCATGAACAGAAGAGGAACAAGGAGTGAATTGTATTTCATAATATTCACAGCATAGAGAAGCACAAAATGAAAATAAATAAATAAATTGAAGAGTAATTCATTATATTTATAACATACAAATAGTACAGGTCGAAAGGGAAAAAACTATGAAGAGATAGTTATGTACCTCTTATAAAAAGATAATGATTGAATCTCAAATTTCACAACCTTACAATACAATATCATAAAATCAACAAAAAAAAAACTGTGTGGAGAACAAAAATAATCATAACAAAGATTATCCCCTTTCACAACAATGTATCTAATTATCGAGGTTATTGTGATAATTCCAATTTGGAGAAATAAGAATAAATTATAAATGAAAAAAGAGTGGAACTATGAATGAAATAAGAGAAGGAAAAAAAAATACAGCGTAACAACAAAAATAATGTAATGACATTCAAAATGTTATTATTTTATTCAATTAAAATATACAAAGAAAAGATGGAGATTCTAAAACACAATCTAAATAATTCTATAGACGTAGGTTAAAAGGTAATTTTTAAGCTCTTTTAAACAATGAGAAGCAAATAATAGCGAAAATTTGTAAGGGTTAAGAAGAAATTTAATTCTACATTAGTTTGCATTATTCAGAATTCAACCCAAAATATAGTTTACGGGCACAATGGAGTCATGTCGACAACTTGAAAGGTATTTGTTGAATTCATTTCACTCACAAAATCAATAGATAAAACAACTTGTAGTCATAGCTATCCATGTTAGAATATCGAATGCAAGACTCTCCTATTGGAAAGGTGGAGAATGAGAAAGATATGATTTTCTTTTAAGGAGGAGAAAGATATGGTTGAGAAAATAATGATATGAAATTTTTTTAATGAGACCAATGAAAATAATTTGTTGTGAAATTTCTATTGAAATATTAGTAAACTATTTCATAAAGAGGGATAACAAATTATGCAAGAGCAACTCCAGCGATAATTGCTTCCGTGGTTCTTATATATAAGAATCGAGTCTTCTCTTCGTGCACCATTAGAGCAAATGTAAAAATCATTCTTGTATAGACCAAATTCTTAAAATTAAATAATATTTTTCCAACATCAATCTTGTGTTAAAATAGGAAAAAATACCAAATTTAGAGTCCCTATGAAATCATTTAAAGTAAATTAAGAACCTATTAAGTTCTATCATTGAAATAAAATAAGATGAAAATTCTTATATCATACACGAAAAAGTGGAATCCAAAAAAAACAGAACATGAGAACTCAAAATGGGTTTTGGCATTTAAGATGATCTAATGAGAGGTGTACACTACATGGAAATTGAAGAAAAAAAACTGATGTAGAATTTATAATCTCTTAAAATTGGAGGTTACTACGTCACATCTAATTAGCGGCTTACTTTATATGTATTATAAATAGATTTAATTTTAAACAAAGGCCGATGAAACATGCACTTTCAAAAAGGAAAAGTCAACATATATAGTAGTTTGTTTCTTCTTTTTTCTTTTTTTTTATTCTGTTATATTATAGGTATGATATGAAGCAGGAATTAGCTTAAAGGAGGGATTGAGTCCTTCTTAGACATGAAAGTGTCTCTTTAAGACGTAAACACAAGTTTTATTGGGCCGTGTCTTTGCTAACGTAAATGTGTCTTAGTTTTTCAGCAATCAACATTGAGAAATTGTATTTATATATATATAGATATATATATATATATATATATATAATTGTATGATAAAAAGAGTTAGAAAAATAGAAACAAAAATGCGTGATAAGATAAACAATGTGATGAATAAATGTAAAGAAAAAAATTTATTTTTAAAATAATACTATTTTTATACGATAATTTGTATAACAAAGAGAAGGATAAGAAGAAGAAAATAGAAAATTTTAAAATAATCTGTTATAAAAAGACATAAAGAAAAAAAATATTATTATAGAGAATATTATATAAAAAAATTATTGAATGATTACAATAACTTACCAACAAATGTTCCTTATTCTATCTACTTTATTTAGGTAGATGAAGAGAAAGAATAATTTGTCTTAAGGAAAATGTTGTATGCACACTTGTATACTAGCTAGTAAATATCTAGAGAGAAAGAAATATAAGAAAAAAAGAGTATATAAATGTAATAAGTAATATGATTCGAAAGGAAATGGAGATTGACTAATTAATAAGCGATATTAATTAAAAGCTTAGAAGTGTTCAACTTGGTGCTTTTAGGAAAATAGAAATGGAGATTGTTGGCAGAGAAGAAAGCATTATGGAACAAAGTTTTGGTATCAAAATATGAGAAATGGGATATCAATAAAGAGGTTGATGTAGAGAGAGTATTTTTCCACATGGTGGAGGAATTTGGGATCTATAGAAAGAGGAGATGTGGAAAGAGAGAACTGGTTTCACAAGCTAATTATTTACAGGATTGAGAATAGGGACAAAATATCATACTGGCATGACAGATGGGTTGGAGAAGTCAGGTTAAAGGATAATCACAATAGCTTTTTCTCATAACAAAATCTAATCAAGAATGCCATGTTAGAGACTTAGGATCTTGGGAAAATGGAATTTGGAAGTGGAGTCTATGTTAGCTCAGGAGTTTATTTGAGTGAGAAAAAGATTTATAAAAAGACTGCTTACTCAATTAATGCTGCAATTCTACATGAAGAAAATCTTGATGGAAGACATATGCAACAAAAGTATATTCGATTAAATCAGCATATATGATATATAATTCTCAAATATATTAATATCTTTTAAATATTTATTTAATATATTTTATACTTTAAAGTCATGTTAATGTCAAAAACTAGTATTTTAATTTTGTCTTGTTAATTAGTAAAGTTTTTTTCTTTTTTTATAGTTTCAGGTATTTTTGATTCAAAAAAAAACTTTGTTAGTTTTGAGATACATAAAGGAAGAAACTAATAACAAAGAATTTTTATTATTGAGATTCTTTAGTTACGAGTAATTAAATTCTTTATTATTAGAATTGACGTAATTACTTACTTTATGTATAACTCTTTCTTATTTTTATTTGATTAACGTTGTTTTTTTTCTTAATATATATTTTGCCTTAACTATCCTTTATATATCTCATAGAATTAATTGCAAATGAAAAACTTTTTTAAAATTACGATTTGTAACATTTATTACTAGGAACATGACAAGTTTTATTAATTAATTTGAAGTCTTTAGCTTTAATATGAGATGATTAACAAACTTTATCAAATAATTGAGATTTTTTATGAAATCTAGAATTTCTCACCTAAGTGATTAAGGTTAAAAATATTTTTGTTGATTATTTAATTAACTTAATAATTACTGAAATTGTATAGTAATTAAGAAACATATTAGTGATATCGATCTTTAACATATTTTATTATAAATTTTTAATTATATTTTAAATATGTTTTTATATTCTTGAAATCCTAAAATAACATTTTTCTTTTTATGTTCTTCAAACAATTATTTTCTTTTATTTTTCCTAATTAGCATTAAATTAAATTAATCATTCGCAAAACAAGTCCACATGGATTCAATACTTAATTTTTTGTCTATTTTATTACTTGCAACAATTAGTATGTTTATCAAATTGTCTAATAATATGCAAAAAAAAAAAAAAACTACAAAACACATGTACATTTGGATAACACATCTTAATTTAGCTCTCTTTGGTGTTTCTTACCCCAAAAAAAAAAAAAAAAAGCATTGCCCTACTTGAAAGGTAAATATTGATCGATTACCAACTAAAGTCAATCTTGCTCATAGAGATATTTTGTTAGACCAAATCAACAATTATGTACTTTTTGCAAAATGTGATTTAGAGACAACAAATCATCTTTTTGTTTTAGTTGTGATGTCTCATATCTTATTTGGCAAGAATGTTGCCACCAGTTGAGTGAGATACATATACACCATTACCTTGTGATGGGAAAAATCATTTTTGGTCAAATTTGAGGAAATACAAAGAACTGATCGAGCTCATTTGGATAAGCTTTGTCTACATGGGAACCAAATAATTTGTTTCACAAATGCTCGTCTTATCTTTAGAGGCTAGGATTGGGTAGCAATGAGTTTCTATGAGTAGTCAACAAATCCACTTTGTTGAATAGCTACATTGCATTCTTCTTATTCATAAATGGTTCTCTGGCCTTCAAACCCATTACCATATGGGAGCTTCAGGGTAACATTTTCTTTAGAGAGAATAAAGAGGGGAGTATGTAAATAGAGTTACAATTAGATACTTCACTCATGTAATACCCCCATTGATGTATGTGGGTTTGAATACCCCTACTCCATATTTCATTAATATATATTTGTCATTAAAAAAAAAAAGTGATATGATCCGGGAAGAGAAATGGTAAATGTAAATGTAGTATTTGTAATATTGGGTATCCAAAAAAATATGACTCTTAAAACAAAATCTGAGAGCATCAATGTATCCTTCCTTACCTTGCCCCTAACCTAAAAAGAAATCGAGGACTGTGTTGATCCATATTTTGCTACAAATGTTAATTTGCCTATTTTTGCTAAACCAATTCTGATGATGTATACCACCAAAAAGAAATGCTAAGCTTAGCATTTATATGTTGACAAAAAATGAAGACCGATAACTACTTCACCAAAAATGGTGTTTATATACGCCTCAAACCTTTGAAAAAAAGAGAAAGATAATAAGGGGAGAAAGAAAAAGTCACATGTAAAGGTGATTGTAAAAGTTAACAGGGTTGTTACTTTACATATTCAAAGGATGAATGATTTTTAGAAAACCCAAATGCTATTAGATAACACAGTTAGAGACTGAGAGAGAGAAAAGAGAGAAAAGTATAGATATTGTACCCGTAGGGTCGATAAGTACTTGCCCAACCCTTCAACATTGATATAGCTGAAAGACTATCGATCAAAATCACTGTAAAAGATAATCAAGGAAGTTAGGAAAAAGATAAGATGAAAATCTTATCTTTCCATAGAATCCTTTTTGAGATTTATGCAAATAATTATCTTTAATTACCTTAATTAAAGATGAGTTCTAAGTTGTTTATATAGGAGCAAAACTCTTTAGGTAAAACACTTTTTTTCTTTATGCTCTCTCATATTATTCTCACATATCACTTGTATTCTTAGTCACCTTCCTGACTTAAGCGTCGCATGTACCCCACCTCTCCACCCTATAGTCCTACAAGAGTGAGAAGAAAAGGAACATAACATACGAGAAGTAAAGAGAAGTAACCTTGACCTCACTAGAGGTACAAGTATCATAGGTGATATATTATATGATAGTTTGAGAGATAAAGAGAAATGATAAGTGTTGATACCGTTATTAATAAAATAGTGTCCAAAAATCATTGTTCCCAAAGATAAACAATGGTAGCATGTTTATAATATTAAAATTAAAGATTGTTTATCCGTGCCTAAAATCAATAAAAATAGCAATTCTGCTATGTTGATAACACCCCTTGGATTGGCAACACTAATTAAGCTACTGAAAACTATATCTTGTGTTTCATAATCACTTGTTGGTAAAAATAGTCTGTTAAATTTGATCTTCGATTATATAAATAGTTATAATGTGTTCATCAAAATAAGCAGTCCCTTAACCTTTAACTCAATTTAAATGGTGCGATAGTTAGACGCACCTGAGATTTCTCTAAAAAGAAGGATCTTCAACTTGTATTTTATTTTGAATTAAGACATGAAAAGACAACAGTGACAATGAAAATTAAAAATAAATTTTAGTATCAACCAAATCTCCCACTCTTAGACATATGTGAAGAAATTATTAGATATTACATAATTATCAAGTATTCACATTTTCAGTTGATTACTATATGGCATAAGTTTAAATTTTTTAATTTATTAAAAATTATTGATAACACTTAATTACATGTACTCATAATTTGCTAGTTTTAAACAATCTAATAATTTTTCATTTACATTTGATGTCTTTTTCTTGTTTAAAAGGCTCGCCTAGTATAGTCTGTTATTGATAAATCATTCTGTCCAAGAGTGGTTGGTGGCCTAAATCAGAAGGAAGATATACAGTTTCTCCCAAATTTGAATGCAGTCATATATATTATGCTTCTGTGCAGGTATAGAAAGGGTTAGCAACTAAGATCAGTAAAATATTTTATCATAGAGGTCGATGAAAATATCTAGTTTGTGTATTATTCTTTGCCATACGAATGCAATTTGGTAAACAGTACGTGGAAAGTATCTGCTTCTATTTATAATGTTGACAATTGAAAGATTGAAACTCAATAAAGAAAAAAGAAAAATCTATCAAAAAGCTTACCAAGAATAAAAGAACCCAAAAAGGAAACCTAGTACATCTTTTTTTATGTGGAGGGGAGAGGGGACAGCTTGCTGATCAGTTGACACTGGTAAGGCTGAAGCATGCAGCGGCACTCTTCAATTCATTCTCAGAAACATGATCAGTGCACTTTCTCATATCTTTCAGTGACTCTTCTGAACTGCAGGCAGAGATGTACAATATCAAATATGAGAAAATTTTCATTTTATTGGAAAATGATCATAAGATGCAAATGATTCAGCTGCCCACCACACATTACTTCTATGCAATTTCTGCATTGACTCGGCCTCATTCAATAAGAATTAAACCCAGCTGTTTGTTGAGGGGACTAGTTAATAATAGGTTTTAATAAGTTTTTCGCCTTAAATTTATTTTTTTCTCTCAAACTTAAAATTAAATTTTTAGTTTTATAATTTTAAAAAAATTATTTTAGTCTAATTTCTCAATATTGTTAATAAATTTATAAAATAAAACTCATTTAAAATTCATTTATTAGTATTTTTATTATTGAAAATATTATATTAAACTTAATTAATGTTGTATAATTGTTTCAATTTGTTATTGTCAATTATATTGCTAATGTTTTAAGAGTTAATCACTTATACATTGTGTGTAAAAAAAATTTACACTGACAACCAATCATATCTTTTAATAGTATCATGTTATTTGCTCATTTAATCAAATAAAAATAAAATAAAATAATTTAAAAGATATAATTAGTTGTCAGTGTAAAATGTTTTAAACTGGCAGTGTATTGATGATTAACTCATGTTTTAATTTGTCACGATCACTTATTTATATGAGTTAATCACCTATACACTATCCGTGTAAAAAAATTTTACATTGACAACCAATTATATCTTTTAATTGTGTCATGTCACTATAAACACATTTACTTTTAACAGTGATATGATACAATTAAAAGATATAATTGGTTGATAGTGAATAGGTGATTAACTTTATTTATATTACAATAGATGATTCTGAGAGATTAAAATAAGATTTTTCTAAAATTACATAAGTTAAAATAATTAATTTTAAATTTGAAAGATTAAAAATAAATAAATATATATATACCCTAATATTGATGTAATTAAAAATATATTTAAATCTTAATAATAATATATAACTTGATCAGCTCACTTGTTGAGTCTGCCACAATGGTAGAGATTTGAGTATCACTGTATGCATAATCTCCTATTGTCATTATAAAGAAAAGAAAGTATAAAAAATGATTAATCAATCTACCTTGACTCATAAGCCTCCTTGGAATAAATGTATGATTGTCTATCATCAACTGAATCAAAAATTGGATGAATCTCATCATAATCTTCAACAACATTTTGTTGAATGGCCAGTGGCTGTGAGGAGAACTGAGTGTCCATTCCTACAGAATTGCTATTATTATTTGCATAGGAATACTGAACCCACAAAGGATTTGTTGTATTATCCTTGGAGTCCAAGTAGAGAGAATTATAATCCACACTGTTGCTGTTGGAGTAGGAATGTTGTTGTTGTTGTGACACAGACAAAGCCACAGTGTTGTAAGTGTGGGGTTGTGGTTGTGGTTGTGGAGTATGATGATTAAATAATGGTAATGCATTACTAGTACGAGGTGTCATGCCCAATTCTAATTGTGAAGCCACATCATCGTGCATAGAAGGACCTTGATGGTGTTGTTGTCTACATATTTCAAGCTGTTGATACACTGCATGAAGCTCTTCTTCCATAACCCATATTTGGTATTGTAGCCTACAAATCTCTTCCCAACAGCCATGCACAGGATACTTATCTCTATAATTTGCTTGAATGATGATAGAGTCCATGGCTATTTTCTTCTGACTAGGCTCCAATATCTTCAATATCTTTACAATGTTGCTCACTCCAAAAAGCTTGTGAACATTGAGAAACACCTTAGGTTGGTCTGCAGGGAAAAATGGTGCAAGAAGGCACTCAGAAGTGCACTTTCTTCTCTGGTGTTTGCATGCTGCACATGCTTGGGTTGTGCCGCCCTTAAGGGTCATTGTTAATTCCACCACCTAGCTATAGCAGATGCTGGAACCCTTATGGAAGTGAAATCCACGATGATGACGATGATGATGATGATGAATCAAAGAACGAAGAAACGAAACAAAAGAAAACAAAACAACAACCTGAGTAAGATGAAGGAAGCAGTTAGAGGAGAGAGAGGGAGGACTCAAATGTTTCATCACATCCATAGCATGCTTTATTAATATGCGGATCTGGTGGGTACGGAAAGACTAAGTAAAACAACAAGAGGGGACACGTGTTGGGACGTGGTGCTTCCAAGAGTGATGCCGTTAGGGATTAGTGAGTGGAGAATGTGAGAAACTCCTATGTTTTGGGGTTAAGTTCCATGTGGTGGGCGTACTAAGTTTTTTTCTTCTTTTTTTTTTTTTTTTTTTTTTTCTTTTTCGTGTTACTTGTCTTTCTCACTTGTGCTCCTATTTTAAGTTTGGGATGGTGGTGGTTGTTTGCTACCTCGGATCGGATAGTGTTTCACTGTTTGTTCGAAGGTATAAAAGTTTATTTTCAAGAATTACATAATTATTATTTTCATGAAAATGTTGGGTTGTCCTTTAGTAATTTTAGAAAATAATAATAATAATAATTTAAAGATAATAGTGAAAAAAAATGTGAAATAGTGAAGTGGGAATACGTAGTCATTGTATAAAATAACTTCCATTTCCATTGAAAATTAATAAACAGATCGATACTCACATTTTCCATACAAATAAGAAGAAAAACAATTGTGATCGAATAATTGATATTCCTCATAATTAACAATTCTTGAGATTTTTTTAATTTGTACCAAATATGGGAATGCGAAGTTTTCAAGTTCATTTTTTTCAAAAATCTTTTTTAATATCTTGAAACAAATACTAACTATAAGATCTATAACAATTAATAATGGCCATTTTTTTTCTCCGGAGCTCTGAGCTTTATATATATGCCTCTCAACTGACTGATGAATCACCTCTCTCATTTTGGTTACTATTTTAATTTTATTTTATTTTAACTTTTAGCAGCATATTATAATTGCTTCCTTTTTTTTCTATTTTCTATTCAAAATGCTCTTTTTTTTTCAATAAAAAAAATGCTTATTCAGGGTCTTTTCTTCACTAGCTAGTATTCATATATAATACTCTAAAATAGTAGTTAGAAAAAAATATTCTACTAAAAGTAGAATCGGATTCTTCGGCGAAATTTAATCATCGACAAAGTAAATATGGTATAAAAAAATACTCTAACTGTAAGTAAATATATAACAAAATAAAAAGTACATATATAAGTATTTGAAATAAGAACTGAACTTCCTCCAAATATTCAAAAATATATCTTAAAAGCTTACTCATAAGAATACAACATAAATAAGTTATTAAAAATGCTTCAAATAAGCTCTTTCAAATGTCTCCTCAAATTGTTTATGAGATAAGCTCTTAATCTAGTAATAATAAAACTTTAAATATGAAATCGCAATTCGTGATGTAACTTAGATGTTTGTATTCAGAGTAACTATTCAAGTGAATTTTTTCATCTTGTTACTAATTTTGCGTTAAAAAATGAATATACAAGACAGAGAAGTGAACTAATTTAAGTGTAGCTTTTCAGCTTGTTACTAATTTTAATGTTTATTGATAGTGATGATTCTTCGACAAAAAAGATGGAAAATGCGAGACTCCAAAGCATGAGTGTATACTTACCTTTTAAGTTCGATTCAACCCTGTAACACTTTCCCTTTTATATATATTCTAGTATTATGAAGAAAAAAATAAATTATGAGTCATTATTATTTTTACTCTTAAATACATTTCTAATCGATATAAAGTGAATAAAGTTTTAATTTTGATCTTATAAATTTTTATTTTATTTTTATTTCTCTAAAATTTAAAATTAATGTTTTTAGTTTATAGTATTATATGATCCTTGTTAATTATATTTTTATTACAGTGTAATCCTAAGTAACGTTTATAATTGTTTGTGATATCATATTATCACATAACACTTCTATAAAAAAAAATTATATATTCTTAAAACAAATATTATTTATCAACCTAAAAATAAACTTTAGGTCCAATGATTTTACATTTTAGAGAGATTAAAAAAAATACACTTTCCGACATTAGAATCAAATTTATTTATTTTAAAGAACTAAAAATGATGATTTCAAATTCTATAGGCTTGAAAAACAAAAATTACAAGAACCAAAATCAGAACTCATTTATTTTACAAGAACTAAAAACTTAGCTATGCTTTATTTGTATTATCATTATTATTAATTATTTAATAACAATAATAGGAATTTCTCTTGATATTTGAAATTTTGGAGATCGACTAAAGATTTTTTTTTAGAGATTTAAAATATTGGTAAAAATTGCTATAAAAGAATCATATAGATTATGGATAATTTTTATTTTTCATAACTTTTGAAATCTTAAATGCATTCATTTTAAGATTTTTTTTCACCAAAAAATATATCTCCCCAAACTAAAATATTTAGTAATTTACACCGGTTGAAATGCATTCATTGTTTATTTTGTTGTCTCTAGTTTAGATTGATTTAGAGAAGTTGCGGATTTACATGAAGGTAATTGTCATGGGTGGCTAGAAAATTGTTGGGTACTCGAGGTTCATATACATTTAGAGAAGTTGCGGATTTACGTGAAGGTAATTGTCATGGGTGGCTAGAAAATTGTTGGATACTCGAGATTCATATACATACATGTCTCCACATTAGTATGATATTGTTCACTTTGGGTCTAAATCTTCATGATTTTGCTTTTAGGAGACTCCCAAAAGACCTCATATCAATGGAGACTGTATGTACTTTATAAACCTTTCATTGTCTTCATGATTCAATGATATGGGACTTTGTTTGTATCCCAACAAACCTCACTTAAAATAAAAGACCATGGTTTAACCTCCTTTCAACGAAATTTTTTTCATTTACGAGTATTCAATGGTGGTCTTTAAAACTTTAGTCACACCTGTAAGTTCTAAATACTTGCACCGTCGTTAGTTCACATCAACAAAACACACTGCCTAACCTCCACACTGTTAGGAAGACTTTCGACACAAGAGATCTCACACTTGGATCCATCGCTTCCCATTGCCAAATACTTGTCTAATGTCAAATACCTGTCTGAGACTCTGAACCAGTCACCTTGTCAAACATTGGTTCCATTGTTGGGCACTTGGGATTCACACACATATTTCTACATTGATATGATATTGTTCACTTTGTACCTAAATCCTCGTGGTTTTGCTTTTAGTAATCTTTCAAAAGACGTTATATCTATAGAGACTACATAAAGATCCAATAATTAATAGAATTAACCCGATTTTAGTGTCATGATTGCTCCCACCTCATGACACAGTGGTGCTTAGTGCTTAGTGTGGATGGTGATGTGTTGGAGAATCTTTCCTGAGCAGGCTTTGGTGATCGTTGTTGTAAAAAACATGGAGAATTTCTCTTTAGTTTTCATGGTAGTGGTGCTTAAACTTCAGTTGTGCATGCAGAGATATTTGCTTTGCTGCATGTATTTGATTATGTTAGGACCAAGGGTTTAGCAAAATTATCTACCATATAAATTGTTCAAAATTTCCTGACCTTATACAAGGTGAAATGTCAATTTCTTACATTTGAAAATGAGTTTATAGGGATTTGTCACTTTCGAAATTAGATGTGTAAGCTATAACATACATTCCAAGAGGATAATTAGTGTGCAAATGTCTTAGTTAAAGCAAGGATAGTAAAAAATAGATACATGATCAGGACAGTAAGAAATAGAGACATGGTGAATTGCCAATATACACCAAGCATTTGCTTCTAACTTATTTGTTGAGTTAGTTACCGACCAATTTAATTTCATGTAGCTCCTATAGTTACTAATTTTGGTTAGGAATTTTTTTTTTCAATCTCTTGCATTTCTCATAATAGCGGTAAAAACAAAATTTAAAAAAAAAAAATATTAGCAACTAAAAACTTTCAATTCTTTCCATAACCATTATAATTCTTTTGGATAAAAAAAAATAATAAGAATATTACAAAAGTTTTCATTATATAAAGTTTATATTTACATTACAAAAATTAGCTTCCGGTGGGGAGAGGGCGAGGTGAAGTCGTGAAGGATAGAAATGAGGGGAAGAGAAGGGCGT